CGTGAGAAAGAAAACGAAAGAGGAAAGAAGATGAGCAAAGCGTATTCTTTATACAGGAACATTTTTAAATTCAAACACATACTACTTTGGTCCTATCTACAACAGAGAAAAGCACCATGTTAAAAAAAGTGAGAACTGACATGTCTTAAAGCAAGGAAAACAGTGTGAAAACACAGTATTGCCCTGAGGTAGGAACGAAAACAGCTGTGTTATTTCAAAACACGCTGGTTCCTAGTGGTTAACTGTGAGGTGTGTTCTGCAGAAAATCACCAGCTTTGTTTGTCACATCCCACACACCTCTCCACACAGGTATCAGTTATCACCAGAGTTGTTTGAAATTAACTGCCGTAGTAAAAGCAGAATGTAAAGCACACACTTGCAGAACAGCACACAGACATTTATGTTCTGGCCATTCATTTTATAAACACACCTCACCTCCCCATCCCTTCTGTCTTCCCTTTGAACAGAGTAACAACATTTAGGCTTTTCTTTTTGGAAGACATGTATGGAGAGGCAATATTCTCCAGAGTAAAAAGTTCTCCCATTTCCTATTTGTGATCATTATTGGAAATGGCTCTTTGTGATTTTTTCTTTTATTTCTCCATAGGTACCATGTTCAAGTAAATCATGTTTTTTTCTTTTTGAATATGTTCAGCTCACCAGTGTGCCCAGTAAGAGTTGCTAAACCTCAGCATTACACTAAGAAACGTTCAGGCCAACCTGGCTGAATGTCATGGCAAATGCTTTGTATTGGTGAAGCTGAGCAGGGGATATTCTGGTGGAGGAATGCTGAGAAGGTTCTCATGGCTGCTAAAATCCTAGTTGTGCCCCATCCCTGGCGTGGCCAGGGAGCCCTCTGCTCAGCAGGGCCTTGCCCTGCCACCAGCCCAGGGTGGCTCCAGGCAGCCAGGCCTGCCCCACTGTGGCACCCACGTGGCCCTGGGGAGAGACAGCCGGGCCCGTTCTGGGAAGGCCCCCCCCTTCTCCCTTGCCTGCTGGGCAAGAGGAAAGGAAGACCATCAGCCTGCGGCTGGAATTGAATGTAGCAAATGCCAGAAAACAGTCATGGAGCCAGAACAACCACCACTGCTTCCTGGCTGGGCCCTTATGTTCCTAGTCCAGCCCCAGCGTGGCCTTGAAAGACTTCATTGTAAATTGCTCCGGCCCAACACCTGGAAGAGATCACATGGCCATCCGCTGCCCAGGCAAGATATTAATGCTTTCATTGTCCAGAATGAGACTTGCAGACACCTTGTCTCTTCTGAGTGAAAGAAAAGGACAAGATGAATATATGCATAGAGGCAGCATGGAAACACTGAGGTCAAAGGGAAGAGTCAGGCCCCAGATGAGGGAAGGAGGAGAATCATAGACTGAAATTTCTCATTTGTTTAAGCTGTGGAGAAGAGACTCTTGTTTCCCTGTAACTCATAGAAATGTATTATGTGTTGGGTGAATGTTTGAACTGTAGATATGAGCAGAGGCATTGGTGGTGAAGTAAGTAGATGTTGAAGTGGCTGTGATCCCAAATGCTTGAATGGAGAGGAGATGAAGATCCCTGCTGCCCCCAGGAAAGAAGGGGAAGAAGACAAAGACAATGAAGAAGAAGAAGAGGAGGAAGAAGAAGAGGAAGAGGAGGGGGAAGAGGAAGAAGAAGAGGAGGAAGAAGATGATGACGAAGAAGAAGACAACAAAGAAGGACCTCTGTTTTCAAAGATGAGGAGAGTTTTTGTTTGAACTGCTATAATCCTCAAAGTGTGGTCCATAAGTTAATATGGTCCTCAAAAATGGTTGTGGGAAGACTGTTAGCCAAGGAAGAGATTTTTACACAGTGATCAGATTTCCATTTTCTGGGGTGGCTGATCACTGTGACATCAAGGCCAGAAGAAAACTGTTTCTTGTGGAGAAATCTCCATAGACTGAAGAGAGAAGTCTTCTCTCCTAAGTAAATTGGTAAAAAACAATTTTTAGAGATGGTAAACTGACTGATTTGTTTCTGTACGTGATCGGTGTGACAGAAAAGAAGTTGTGGGGGGAGAAGTGTTCTGAAAATTTATTCTGAGTTTTATTCTTTTTTCCTTATAGTTTCTAGTAATAAAGGTTTTCTTTGTACCCCTTAGAAGTTTGAGCCTGTTTTGCCTTCCTCCTAATCCCATCTCACAGGAGGAAATGAGTAAATAATTCTAGTGGGTGCACTGGTAATTTGGTCAACACTAAATCCATGACATACAGTTTCTTAAACCCCATAAATAGTTGCTATGAACAGTAAATAGATCTAGTATTGCAAGTAATATAGACCTTTAAATTGTGGTCAAACTTCTAAATTGTCTTGAAATTCCTATATAATGAAAGGACACTTACAACCTCACCCAGAAATTAAAAAAACAAACAAAATCTAACAAACCAACAAAAAACATCACAAAACAAAAAATAATCAATCAGGTTTGCCCAGGAAGACAAATAAACTGCACTTCATTAATTTATGTAAGCAGAAAGTAATCTTATCTACCCTTTAATTTAGCTACTGTGATTGATTGCTAGTTACTTTTGAATTTCCTGTTATAGTTTCATTTAGAGCAACACAAAACTCCTTCACTGGGATTTTCAGTTCCAAATAGAATAAAGTCACTAACAGAATTAATAGATTCTGGTCGGTTTGCATTGGCAAGCTTTCTTTAAAAGAAACATGCTCATGCATGTGTTGCATGGGAAGAAAAGTAACTGAATGAAAGCAAGAAAGAATATACCTACAGGACATGAAATTTGACTCATCTGGCAGCTGAAGTTAAGCTCAAATTTTTGTATGGAATTTTTATATTCATAATCTATATTGCTGCTTTATTGACACAGATCTCTAGTTCTCAATGCAGGAAGTTTGCCTGTCAAGGTGACTTACTTGGAAATAGTTGTCATGTTATGATTTATAGTGGTTTTTTGTAGTGCTTTTCCCAGTTAAAAAAGAAGCACTTTTGGATGCAGCACAAGGGTTTTTCTGATTGCACAAGCTACATTCTTACTTATGACAATAGTCTCCCAACAGCAATGCATCCTGTCAGCATGATATCCTGTGGCTATAAACTCACTTCTCATTCCTCAGCTCACCACTCATCTGTCAGAAAAAAAAACAAATTCAGTGTTGTAAGGTAATCCTTACATTCAATCAGCCATAAAAAAATAGCCTATTTTTAAAGATATTCACCGTGCAAACTTTGGCTTCACTCTTCACACTTACTTTTAAGCCTTGTTTAGAACTGTGCTTGCAAACGCTTCCTCAGTGAAAATCCCAGTGCAGCTGCAGATCCACCCAGACTTATCATTCTGCAGTAGTCCACAAGTCTTCACCTGCCACTGAATTTTCTGTAGTATACTGAGTTATAATTTGGAGCATGAGGGCACTGGAACATGCAGATACATACAACACCTGCACTTTTCAGAAATGAATTTTTAGCTTGCTGTAAAAAGATTTATTTGCATCAAAGTGCCCACATTTTCATTTTCATCATTGGCTGCACCCACATTAACACACTATTGCTCCCCCATTCTTCCATTTATACTCATCTAATCCAGAATTGCCTCCTCTACTCTAGCCTACCAGGTAAATGTAGAAAGATTTCAAGTATTTACATTCAGACATCATAGCTCTAGTCTCTTTTAGTCTTAATTCTTCCATTATCCTTTTCACCTCCCTGATAGGTTTCATTTAAGAAAACTGTAATCATTTGGTCTCTAGGAAGTCTTTATTTTTCCTCTATGTGTAGCCTTTGCTACTCATAATTCATACTGATGCTGCATTGACTCTCCCTTGCTCTGAATGACTTAACCCTTCATCCCTTCTCTTAGTGACCTCACTGTTGGGGTTGTTTTTTGTTTTTTTTTCTTTTCCTCTTTGCCTGTGGAATTTTCCCACTGATATGCTAAGAAGCAATGATGGCTAGGTACTTGAGACGGAGGAGGGGGAACTCCTCTGGTTTTGGGAGTTTTCTCTCAGAGGAACAGAGAGACACCACGAGATTAGAAGCAGGTAAAAGGAGAGCGGGGGGCAGTTGCTCTCGCTCGTTCGCGGCTTCAGATGAGCACAGTCGCTTGCTACCACCACCATAGCCTAGACGGGAGCTGCCTCTTCTTCTGCTGCTGGACCCTGCACCCATGCTCTGCTAGGATGCCCTGCCATTTCAGCTTGCTCTTTCCGAGTATCCTGCTGGAGCACCAGGACTGACACTGCCCCAGGGTTCAGGAAGCAAAGTCTCTCTTTTCCATCCCTTCCTGTCTCGGACACAGCCGCCATTACCGCGTGCTCCCCGAGCTCGCGCCACACCGCCCCCTGCAGCCACGGGGGGAGCATCGCCACCAGCGCTCCCTGCCGGCGGTGACGGGAACTGCACCAAAGGGGAAAGTGCCTGCGGCTGAGAGGACCGGAACTGGGTTCCTGTTCTGTTATTAAATCCATTGTTGTTATTTTGTCTGTCTTGTTATACATACTAGTAAAGAACTGTTATTCCTATCCCCATATCTTTGCCTGAGAGTCCCTTAATTTCAAAATTATACTAATTCAGAGGGAGAGGGTTTACATTCTCCATTTCAAGGGAGGGCCCTGCTTTCCTGAGCAGACACCTGTCTTTCAAACCAAGACAATAAGCTGGGAAAAAAGGACATTTGCAGAATCTAAATACTCAAGAATTGTTATTGGAACAGAAAGAGCAAAGGTGACATGTCTTGCAGAGACATGCTCTCCCTAAAAAATAAAGCAAAGGCTGCAAAAACATCTTGGTAGAAATGAGCATGTCATACATTACCTGCAAGGTACATTACATTACAAGGGTAAGGTGTGCAGGTTTTTTTGAGGAAAGAAAAAGAACTCCAGTACAATGCAAATTTCCCAAGCACTTTCAACTACAGTTTCCTTGTCAGTGATTTCAATCTTCCTTGCAAGGAGACAGAAATTTTGCTCAAGTATTTTACTATTGAGGTCTAATTTGCAGGTGAGTGCCTCCAACTGATCCACACTTTAGATACAAGTTTGGGGCTCGCACTCATTATATTCAAACAAAAAACCTAAAGAAAGGTTAACAAAACCCTGGTGCTAACATGCACCTGAAGGAAGTTAACATGGTACAGACTTAAGTACACAACTAAATGTTACAAAGCCCATCCCAAATAGATTCAAGACAAGCAGCAACAGGAGGACAGTAACACCTAAGGGATAATCCTGCAAATCCCTCAAGAAAAAGTATTTTAAAGATTTTCAAGAGAATATTTGGGAAAAAAAACCAAAACAAGTCCACATCTAGAAACTCCAGAGTTCCCATCAGTTTTACAACTTTACCTGAGCACTGCTTTACAGCAACTGGTAGATAGAATACGTAAAGACAGATTAAAGACAAATAAAGACAAAATTCTCTTGTTAGATTTGGTTATTTTGCAACCCTCTAAAAGTAATTTTGCAATATAAATATTTATGAGTAGTTATGTTGATATTCTTCAAGTTTCTGATGCATCCTAGATGAGATTACAATACTGCATGGCTGCTCATTAACTTTATTTTTCAAGATAAGCAAGCCTAGAAAAAATTCATGTGAAAAGAAATGCTCACAGAAGCAGTTACATTCTGCTAGCCCTGCAATCAGAGCTTATTTACAGATCCTTATTCAATATCAAAACAAGAAATGCAGATTCCCCTCTATTCTTCAAAATTCTTGAGTCATCTTCAGACAGGAATGGCCATTTATTTTCCATCCAACTTATTTTTGTCAGTTTTCACCCAATTTCTGTCCTAGTAAGCACAGAACTAAATTCACAAGAATTCAAGATGTAAAACCCAGATTCTTAGCTGCTACCATTAAAGAAATCTCAGATGGCAATTTTTCAAAGTGACAAGCTCTTCTTACATGACCGCCAGTGAAATCTGTAGTTACTTGTCGGCCAAGTTTCAAAGGACCAAAGTGATTCACCAATTCCATACTATGGTCATGGAACAGCAGTTTCAAGTCCAGTTAAACCAGTGTTCACTTTATGGATCAAGAGCACAGGTCGCCCCTTCTTTAGCTTATCAGGCTTACTGACACAGGCTAATTTCTGAATATGCAATGCTTTCTTAGGTGTGCTAGTAGAAGTTTAGAAGCCTCATCTAAAAATGAATGATGCTTCTTGAAGAAAAAAACCAAAAACCACACTGTGTGGATATTTACATTCATGGCATGCCAGACTGATAGGTTTTCCAATTCACTGGAGGGAAAAAACCCACCAACCCCTTCCCCTCGCTCCTAAAAAACAAAATCAACCAACCAACCAACCAAAAGAAGTTGCATCCCACCTAGTGGAATCACCTCTTCAAAATTCAGTGATAAAACCCCCATCAATTTCATTGTAGCCCAATTTTCAGCTGCATGCCATGTAGAGAAACACCCATTTAATTTTCTCCCATTAAGACATAGAAAGATTACTAAGCTTTCTTTCACCCACAAAACTCTCATCCAGAACTTGTCCAAGAACTCATACTTAACTCCAGAGATGTTTCCGTGTTTTATAAAACACGCTAGAGAAAATGCATTAACATTCTGTATCTGTTTTGCTAATCCCTTCATGCAGACAGGGAGCTCTCCAAAAAACAGCAGTGGCTTCCCATTACAGTTAATGCACAAAATTATTTGTTACTGTGCTATGGGAAACAGTCCATGTCAACACTAAATTACTTTCACTTCAATACAGTTGTTTTATGTTCTTACTATAAAAACCATAACGGAAAAAAGACATGAATTCATATTGTATGTAAGGTTTTATTGATTGCTAATTGCTTTGCTTACATCAGGTACAGCACTTTAATTTGAATCCAATAAAACTAAAAAGAAATTGCTATTAGAGACTTGTTTCTGTAAGTCTTTCAGTTGCCAAATACATATTGCTCTGCACAACTCTCAGCTACACAACAGTGTTGTAGCTATACAGCTTACACTGTATGCTTCAGCATAAGCAAAGAGTGATCTCAAAATTCATCACTTTTACCAGTTACACTTTTTTATGTTACAAACAAAGGCCATTTTCTTAGTTCTCTGCAATTTTATAAACGGTATAAAACAAATCTCAGGGTTTGTGGTAAAAATTATTTGATCCTACACAAAAGACAACACCAAATGAAAGGACGATAATTATTTTGTGTGATTAGATTCCCATTCAAGATTACTTAAACTGACATTGCATTGTGACCCTTTCCAGAAGCATGGAAAATCCATCCAGTAGACCAGATCCTTCTCTTTTGCTTCACCTTATGACTGACATGGACAAATCTTATGTCACTGTGTATCCTACACGATCAGGCCTATGTATGTCACAACTGACTATCCAGGCTTACTTGGCACTAGAAGAGCACTTTGATGAAATCTGATCATCTTGATGCATCATAAATAATACTTACAGAAGAACATATGATGATATTCACATTATTGTCAAGGGGAAGAAAAAACTGCTAGGAAGGAAACAAACAAGTAAATCAAATGTTCAAGAATACACTTAAACCCCCCCGCCCCCACACTTAGAACTGGGGCAGCCTATCCTAGGGCCAAAAAGAAAACACATTATCCCAAATAATAGTGCACAGCCTTTAATGTATTAGCAAAAATCTTTACTGCGGGCACAAAAAAGAAATGCTCTGGTAATCACTGCCCCAAGATAGCAGATTCCTGCAGAATCTGAGAGAAGAAACACAGGTTCTTAAGGAGACTTCTGATCTCTCTTCAAAATGATAGTCAAATAAATGCAGTTTCTAAGCAAAGTGCCAGTACAGAAAATATGCTCTAGAACTGTGGCCCATAGCTAGACTTGTAATTTCTCCTTCCTCATTCCAAACTATCAAAAAAAAAAATAGATACTTCGTTAAAAAATTCAAAACAAAATGAAACAAAAAAAATCTACAACAATCCCACCTCTTTTCAAATAAGTTGTTTCTCTCCACTCTGGTTTCCTAAAGAGGATTTTACTATGAGCAACAAAATTCTGTATAACACCAATAATTCATCTGATTTCTGGAATGTAGCATTAATAACAGTATACAACATGTATAAACCACAATCTGGATTTTTAACTGTTATATTAGTTAACATAGAAAGAACTGTAATCAAGATCCAGAAAAATTCCAATTACCTCTCAAATAAAACACGCTTAATACAACTCGTATATACCAAATATTCCCCCTCCTATTTTGTGAGGTTCCTTTCAACAGTAGCTGTCAACAAAATTTCAGTTTTTTAAGCAGCATGGACTCCCTTAAAATGACACTGTCAAACATTCAGATTATAAATGCAAGACCTCCTTTGTATCATAAAAACCAAAAAAATTGTCATAATATGAACAACACGTAACTTTTACTAGCTTTTTGTAAATTACATTGCAAATAAGTAATTTCTCTAATATAAATCCTAGATTTGAAAAGAAGTCAAACTGGTAGAGAATAGAAATAATTATTGTGAACTGCTTGACATCAATGCTTGATATCAATGAGGCCACATTCTCAGCATCTATCCAGCATAAAACTTGCCAATGCAACTATTAACACTGCTAGCGAAGTTGCCAATAACAGAATGGTCATATTACAATGACTTTCTCCACCACCCTGTGGAGAGAAAGTATTTTAGAGCAGCACAGACATCACAGACAAGCAGTAGCAAGGAGGTATACATGTTTACTGCTTGTTACATTACTATTTGTAGAGCCAATGAAAGATTCGTCCCTTCAGAAGTACAAAACTATCTTTCAGTAACAGTTTATTTTAAATTCCTTCCTAAGATCATGGGAAGACAGTAACCTGTAAAATAAGGCTTAAATGGCTTAAGAGCTTTTCCTCAAGCAGAGTTTTAGAAGTTCACTGCACTCTAATGTCATATATGCTTTAGATAACTGGAAAAAACGAACAGTTCATCTACAAAGAAAGTCAATTGGTCCTGAGAACAAAATTATTTGACAGCGGTCCTTGCTAAAGAAGACTCTAAAGTAACATAAATGAAGATGTGTGCTTTCCTTTGAAAGCTTTCCTGGGGAAAGATATACTTTGAATATCCATTTCATTCAATAACACAGCACAAGCAATGCTCAGTGGCCATGTTTATAAAGCATTATTGTGTTGTCCTGCCTGTTTCTAAATTACTCTGTAACTCTAATTTAGTATAGACTTAGCCTATGTACAATAAACAATACTGGTCTAAAATCTGAACGTGTCCCCAAGGAACTTCCAGAAGATGACTTTTAGGCATAAATTTGCAATTAACTTTTGAGGTCAAGCAAGGGTGCTTCAAACAACCTAGCTCATCAAAATATATTTATAAGAATCTATTCAGTATAAGTCTAAAAAAATAACCACCTGCACACCTATCTTTTTCAGGAACCACGCACGCTCCACAAGGTTAAGATTCAACTGGTTTGCTGGAATCGTAACAAAAAAAGACAAAAGGAAAGAGAAATAAAATTTATTATAAAACTTGTTGAAATAGCAATGACTTAGCTGACTTCTTGTTCTGCTGTTCTTGCAGAACAAAATGTGACTGAATACTCTCAGGAAAGCCAAAACAATTACAGAAGTAGTATGTTGCCAAACTAAAATCGCTTTCTCTTGATAATTTCTGGTTTCCAGCTGACAGGATGGGTTTCTTCAGTCTAAAGGGGGAAAAAAAATCTCATAAGGATTATTTTAAACTTGAAACTCACCTATAATTAAGATTAGTTTAAAATGGTACTTACAAAGTATATGTAGATATTTCATACGTAGCATTACTAATACCTAATCTACAATGTAATTAATTTACCCAAATTAAATTTTCTATCATAACTGTCTGAAGTAAATAATAGTACTTGTTCTGTTCTTGTCTTTTTCTTCCAACAAGGAAAATGATCGGGTTGCCAGTGGCATTTCCAAAACAACACTGAGGTTATCAAAGCACATGAACAGGAGTTGCCAGTGACAGGCCTTCCAGACATATCTACGTCAGTATTGGTAGATGTCATAGAGTCTATTTTGCCCAACTTCAAAACGGATAAAAAATTCCTGATTCTTTATATCTAAGAGTTACTCCAAGTCTAATTCTAAAAGTGAAAAGTTCCAACGTTTAATAAAAATTCTTATATTCCTTATATTGAAGATAAATACTGATAAACTATACAATCATCAGTTGTCTTCTCTACTGGCAAATTAATTCAGATTTTAGAATACCAGTTTGAAAATAAGCTCTTTACTCTAAATTCTAAAAATTGTCAAGGCCAGTAACTAATCCAGATCATATAAATAAGTGCAATAAACCTTTACAGTGGAATCCCTTTGCTGATTCCCATGTTTTTATCAATACAATCCCACACAATTCCCCACTACCCAATGTATATTATTGCATTCAGATTTCTCCAAACTTCACCGCAAAGGCCTTTTATGGAAGAGTTCACAGACCTGACACTTATTTGTACTACAGCATATAACAATAATCAGGAAGGCAGAAATAAGCTACTGTCCTGTTAATGCTAATACAGAGGTCTTTCAAACTTCAACAAAATGGATTACTTAAGTCTAAACATGTCCCCTGTGGACATGTGTTATATTTGTCTGATTTTTTTTTATTTTATGGAAATACTTTAAAAATAACGTTTTGACATACCGCAGTATCATCTTCTTTGTATACTTTTATGGTTTTATCTGCTTCAGCTGTTAGCAACCTGCTTTCTGACTGGTCAAAAACACAAGCAAATATTCCTGATTCACTGTCCAAAGAACCTGGCTGTACAGCTGCATGTACTCTCTGGAAATTGTATCCAGTTCTCCAGTCCCAAAGGTGCATAGTACCATTATCAGCTATAATAAACAAACAAACAAACAAACATACTTAGTATTTTGACCAATTAATTTCTATCTGTTTTCTAAAAACAGCATCAGGAGCAACATGAATACATCACACAATATTGACACAGAATAGCTCAGTACACCCTATACATTTTCCTATTTTCTGCTTTCTCCTTCCTTAGAATCTCATCCAGATTTCCATCAGATAACCCAGAGAGATGATACCCTATATCACAGGGCAATTGCAGCAAGTTGCTTTGCAGGCACGGTAAGGACTGGCATTCTGAATATCAAACTCCCTGCATAGTAGCTCCACTGAAGCTGAATGAAGAGGAATCATCCTCCCAAAGAGATTAGGGACATTAAGAACTCTTACTTAATACAAAGCAGGTTTAACGTTTGCAGAGATTTTATTCCAAATCCAGTTTAAACCACTGCCAGTATTGCTGCTACTGGCATCAGCTACAGGGCATTCACAGCAATCTGAACTCTCTATTCAGAAGGACGCTCTCAAGAAAATTTTTCAGTTACAAAACTCAATACCCTTCAAAAGCATTATCTAGCCAAAACAGATCTATTAAAATTTAATTTAATTTTAATTTCCACAGCTGCAGCTAGACAAGAAATCCCGATGTTTCAAGAAGGGTGTTTCTACAGTAGAAAACTTCAAGGTGAAATCAGCTTCTTTTAATTCAACATCACCTTCTCTGAAGCTGCTGTAGAGCGCATGAGGATGTAAAGGGGAGAACTGATACTCAAATTTTAACTTTCAAAAAGTCGCAACTAATATTATTAAAATTATAATAGGTTTTTTATGTGGCTAAGGTGTTTTCTTAGACTCACCTACTACTAGTATGTCTTGCAAGGATGTTCTGAAAGTGTCTTCAAATAATAATAATGATAATGACATAGAAGTCCATTTCAGTATTTTGTGAAGTTCTTATTCTTACTGGGGATGAGCCAGATGTCAAATACAGCTTTATCCAAATTTTAAAACCAAGGGCCCCTTTTACACATAGCTGGAAACATAACCATAGTAAGGTGACAATGTAATTGGCTGTTTCCCAACTCCTGCTTAGCACATTTCCGTCTTACTCCACATCCTTAGTCTACAGGACCAAGTGCCTTATTCCCAATCAGCTTTAGCAAGATGCTTCTATATCCTCTATCCAGTCTAACTGCATCAACACGCAGCTAACTCTAGAGGAGGCACTAATGACCAGCAGATCATAAAGGATGGCCTTGAGGCATCAGCCAGCTGAAAAGAGGAAACCTCTTCCATGCAGTATATTAGAAGTCCTTCAAATTTATTTTATTTGCATGCAGTTCAGAAACATCCAAGGACATGAAAGTGGCCCTATTCACTAACGAAATGAAATGTGTGCATTTCACACTGTGTCCTGCAGCAGGTTGACAGTCCTAGATAAAGCAGATCTCCATGAGCATCTCTACTAAAGGACCTCCAACCACGTGTACATGGGAGAGAGAAGAGGAATATGTATTTGTCATTTTTACCTCCTGAGACCAGAACACCGTCGGAATTTACAGCCAGTGTGTTTATAATAGCATTGTGACCAGAGAGGTTCTGAATAAAGTTTCCATCTGGGAATTTCCACTGCTTAATATTATCTGGAGAACCAGATGCAAATGTGTAACTGAAAGAAAATAAATACAGTATATTAAAGTTCAAAATAGTTGTAGGGAGAGCAAATGTCCTTCATTAAAACTACTGCTAAATGCTAGTTGCAAAATTACTTAATATTAAAACTGCTCTTCCAACATGCTTATTCACATGAAACTAAGAAATTTTATGAAGTCATCAATTACCTATTCCTACTGTTTTCTTTCCACTTCATAAAACAAACTTTATAACATCTTATATGCCATACGATTTAATATGCAAACAAATACTTAAAATGCACATTAAGCTCTCTTCAGTTGTTATTCTGGCAAATTTTCAGGTATAAGGACATCATCAGCAAAGGTAACAGGAAAAAAAAGGCAACAAACCCCAAGTATAGGCTAACGGCTAGTCTTCCAAAATTGCATAAGCAAGGGAAAAGCCACGCAAAAATATAACTAAAAAAGATAATTTCTTCCCCTGAGTTACCCCAAAATAAAAATTTCCTCCATTTTAAGATGTGCAAGCAGCTACATTGTTATTTGAGTAGCACATACAAAAGCCTGTAGGAATACTTTCATTTGCCACAATGTTCAGGGAATTTGCTGTCTATTTAAAAGATACCACAAATAGAAAAGTAACTATTATGAGAAGATACCACAACATTAAAAAAAAAGAGAAATACTGTACTACAGGCTGGAAGTTGCTACTGTTCGACAAGAACACTTCAAGTTTATTTTCAAAAAAGTGTAATTGATGAAGCTGAAACCTGAATTACTTTTTTTTTCAGAATATAATTAAAACTAGAGGTTTTTCTATAGCTATAGCTAACAGGCTGTACAGTTTTTCAGGCACACATTGGAATAAGTTTATCCATACCAAAGATTCAGAATTTCTGACAGAAATGACAGAATGTAATTTTAAAATATTAAAGACACAGAAATACTCAAGTTCTATGTGAATTCCTTGTCTCCATTGTTTTAATGGGGATCCAAACAGGCAACTGCTGCACATGAAAATACAGCATCTAAATTCAGAATACCTCCAAGAACATCTGCTTCAAAGCTTCTATTCTCACAGTAACTTTTATTTTAAGGCCAGTTAGATTGAAGTGTCTCGAGCAGCGAACCACATACTCAAAAAAAGGCCATTCTATTAATCACTGTCTCCTTTAGCATTAATCACAAGTGGCACATTACAAAACTACTGCAATTCCTGCTCACAACCACTCACTTACATATTTATTATTAGCTTTAAGAGCATTGTATCACCGAGTTTTAAGGACTGAATGAAAGGCACACACATAAGTAACTATAAGATATCAGACATTCTCAGTAATGCTAATGTACACCAATGCCAAAACTAGGGAAGCACAATCACTGCAGTAAAATATATCTGATAATTGATATGTACATTTTTACATCATCCTAAGTGCTAGTTTCTCACATTGTTATGCTCCACCATTTTAGCTCATCATTCACATTGGCTCTCTTCAATTCTCAAAGAGCTGTGGAAGTGTAACAGAATAAAGAAAACTTACTGTCTTGGATGTAGCACTACTGCTCTCACGGATTTCTTGTGATTTGTTAAAGTAACACGAGTTTTTCCTGCCACCAAGTCCCAGAGCCGTATGGTAGTATCATGACTGCCTACAATTAGAAGAAAATTTAAAAAAAAATAGTAGAAACCATCACCTTGACTTCATCACAATCATTACTTTGCTAAGGCAGCCAAAATGATGTGAAAGAGACAAAAATACTGTGCAAACGCCACCTCAGATGAAGAAGACACCAGACCGCAAAAGTATTTTTACTCAGTTTTAAATCTAAGAACTATGTTGTTACATGTAAAGCTGGATTTTGACATATGGGAAAGAAGAGGAACACTTAACCACAGTACTGGACACTCCTTAACTGAAATGGGGAGAACTAAAATATCACAGAAAATTCAAGTTCTTAATACATATTATAACACAAATGAAAACACCAGAAATAAAGAAGAGCAGAAAAGCATTCAAACAACACATAGCCATATTTGCCTAAACATACCATTAATAGTATGTAATGACCATTGCATGGCCCATTTTCAAGATAAACTAGTACAAGATCTGTGCAAATTCAACAAGATAACATTATGAACATAACACTATTACTGAACAAACACATTCATCATTAGGTTTTTCAATCATGTTATTCATGAAACCACGCCTACTATACCTGTAATAATTTGTGGTTCTGCAGCTTGGCACTTCACAGTTGCTACTGCATTTGTGTGTCCTGACAGTGTGTGCACACTGGCTTTTGTCCTTACATCCCAAATCTGTGAATTCATAGCAAATATGTCAGAGGTCAGTAGCAGGTGCATAGTCAATGTATTTTAGGCACTGCCATTGATTACATAATCTCCTTGCCATAGTCCTAGAAATTAAAAACTGGTATTTTGGTGGTATTTTTCAGCCAACCATTTATCACAGAACTGCTTCAGCTGGCAAATTTCAAGGGGAGCAGGAACCTGCCAGTGAACTTCCAGGCATGTGTGGATAATTTAAGTCACCATAGTTGTATATCACCTTCTAAATACTAAGCAATCCTACATATACTATGTGGTTTACCTACTAAATTAAGAAATAAAGTATTATCCTGACATGGCATGTTCATGCATTTGGGCTTCAATTTTATCAACAATGTAAGACAAAGCTAACACAAATCATCTTAGTACTTCATCTAAAGTGATGTTAACTTCTGCTTAAGTGCTCATTTTTGCAAATTAAGACATTGAAATACACATATCGAGATATTAAAACACAACAATACTATACTTACTCGTGCTGTTGAATCTCTGCTACATGTCACCAGCACATCTATCGTTGGATGCAAGTCTAAGCCATAGACAGCACTTAGATGACCGTGATAATGTCTGATAACCTAGATGAATAAACACCACGCAAACTAGTAATTGAAAGAATATTCTAAATGCTCTGATTTCTGTATTTGCTACTACCAATTCCTTCAATTAAAGAAACTGCAGCTCACCTTATTGTATTCAAGATCCCAGCATTTCACTTGTTTGTCTTCTCCACAAGAAAAGAGGTATGGACTTCTTGCACTTACTATCACCCCTCGTACAGTACTGATGTGTCCCGTCAAAGACAATTTCAATTTGCCACTAGCAAGGTCCCAAATCTGCAGGAAAATAGGTATTTTAAGGTAGACAGGAAAAAGCTATACAGTGAGTCTGGGTAAACAGCCCAGATGTAATTGATCCTGCTGCAATGTAAGTTAAAAATACAGTCACATAAACACTTGCTCTCCAGATACTACCATGTAATAAATGAAATATCATGAAAAGAAATAGTGCTACTCCACAAATCCTTTATGACAAAGTAATAAAAGAAAAAAATGTTCTACTGTTCACTATCCCACAAACAGTAAACAAGAAATTGCTTCCAAGGGCTGGAAACATTTTTAAATAAAAAAGGAACAAAAAAGCCCCACCGCCTGTAAACTTCATCAGTCATTTCTTCCAACCTATTACCTTTATGGTTCTGTCAGCAGAGCCAGTAACAAACCACTGATTTCCTGGTTCTACTGCAATACATCTCACCCAGCCCAGATGACCACTGATAACCTTCAGAAAGAACAAAAAAAAATTTCAAGATCAGAAATAGGACAATACCTTTGGATGCAATTTCCTTCTCCAACACTGAAATTTGCTTGTAATTACCAAGAAAAGTCAAATGTGAAACCTATTTCCAAGCTGTCTGAACAATCTTTTGCCCTCCTGAGCAAGGATTTTGACCTCCAAAGAAGTCTTCACTAAAACTGCTTATATGTAGAATGAGTACAGTGACTTGAATTGTATTGACAGTATTTCTCTGAAAAGAAAGTGGTCCTAACAAGGAAGCATTTTACAATTTTTCATGTTTACCATAGATCTCTTACAGTTTTATTTTGATGCCATTTCTTTCAAATGGCATTTATCTTAATTTTTACAGCAAACACATTCAAATAGTGCTGTATTTAGAAAATCTATATACTCCTTGGAGCCTGTGTTTTCCAGAAAAACTACTTTAAAGGTTAGCCTTCAGATTTCTGACTAATACTGCAAACCTTCCACCAAATTTATCATAACACAGCTATGAGAGTAAAAAAGAGGTTCAAATAATGTGTGTATACAACTTAGTTGCGATTACTTTCTGTTACCATTTTAAAATCATATTTGATTATATTTTTGTGAATGAGAACAAAAATTATGATTTGAGGTCTTACATAAAATATATTTACTTTTATATGCATGTTTGCGTCATGCAATTTCTAACTTACTCTGTACAGTTTCCAAGGTGGATGCCACTGAGGTTTAGGCATGGTTGGAGCCTTCTTCGGCATTAATGCAGAGTTTTTGTTTCCACCAGCTTCCACCATAGCCTGTAAGTTAAAAGAAGGGTTACGCTTCTGGCTTGTAACTTATCTCTTTGCCCAAAGCCTAAAACTTTCTCATTTTGCCTTCTCAATACTGATTTAATTTAGTCAGCCAGGAGATCTCCACACAACACATACATGGATCCAGAAGCAATCTGGTCAACACCATGTACTTTTCACATTACATGTGCAACAGACTCACCACAGACATCCCAGGAGGTTGCGAACGCTCAGATATTCCAGCATGCCTGTAGATGTCACCCACACCAGCAGCTGTCCGGTTTGCATCCAGCCTAGAGTGAGTGAAAAGGGTTCATGAATTGCAATCTACTTCCTCCTGCTAAGTGATAAGGCATAACAGGGCTGCACCCAGATGAGTGTTGTACACTTGTCAGGAAAGAGAGTCCACAGTCTCTCTTGACACCCTATCCACGGCTTGACCACCCCAAGGTACAGATACCCACAAAGCCTCATATTTTTCTTTTCTAACAAAATTTCCCTTGTCCCAAATTCCACCCACTGGCTCTCATGACAATACGAAAAAAAAAGTGTGCAGAAAAACAATGCCTGTCCACACTGAAAGCAGTTTCTTTAAGAATATCTGAATTACTCCAAGTAGCTCTTATCCCAGCCTATGTGATTTGCCTTGCAGTTCCATAGGTAACAATGGTGTCAATGAGGTAACGTAGCAGTACCTAGACTGGGAAGCAGGAAGTGCTACAGCTAAGGACTGTGCTGCAGATTCACTTGGCATCCTCTGGACCTTAGTATCTGCTGTCAAAGCCACACCTTGAAAAAAAAACAAACAACCCACATCAGAAACAAAGAACTCCTTTAAACAGGAACTCAAAAGCGTATTTTATAAATATATATACATATACACACACATATACCTGCAAACAAGGGCCTGACACACCTGTAGTATTAACTGTCATTCTTC